AATAAAACCATAGTGAACACCCTGCTTTCTTTGATAGGTTCGACAAGAATTGGAACCCGAAGAAGGCACAGGCCCATCTCGTGTTCTGTTTGTGCGTAACTTACCGCGGGATGTGACAGAGCACGAAGTAGCCATTCTGGCAATACCTTTCGGTCCGATATCGAACTTGGTGTTGACGAGGAAAAATGGTCAGGTAAGTGTAATCTGTCTCAAACCATTGTTCTATGACGTTCTTACTATCAAGTGAAGAAAGTAGGTTTCAGCTTCTCCCATATGATTAAAATGGTGCCAAAGATAATTTTGGCATGCGTTTTGCATCTCCAAGGCACTAGGTCGATCCAGCTCCTAACCTCACTAACCAGCTAAGCAAGAGGGACATTTAATACATTTTGCCGTTTGCATGGTTACCTCTATCGTGCCCCGTTGAGATCGCTGGTATGAGCTGAGGAGGCGCAAAAGGACGGCACAAAAGGCGGCGTTTCACTGAACCAACAGAATGTTGATCATACCTAAGGAACGACTAGTGAATGGTTAATAGATGTTAAAACAACTGAACTGCATTGATCGCGTTGGGTAGTGATGAGTGGGCTACCGCTCAGATTATCCAATCTTTATTTAACTCATTGTCTTCTATAGCCAACCCTCTCCCTTCGTCCGACGCGTAACATTCCCCCAGACAATTCGTTCGTCACTCGGCAAATTTCGTTGCCTAGTGGCGCTATGAATAGCTTACCATGAAATAGATTGCAGATTCTGGAACCTCGTCAATCATTAAATCTGACTGTGATGCAGATGGGTTATGGAGCCGGCTTATCTTTTCCAAGGAGCCAGGAAAGGAAAAAGTAAGTCGGTGGGTTAACAAGCTTTTCTGGCGCGTATCGAAGACGCGAATCCAGGATCCTAGTACTATAAGCCACCGGCTTTGTTTTCGAAGTACTTCCTCCGCACATCAGATGGCGATGAAGCCCGTTCTGCAAACCAACGTGGCTTAGCCATCATACTTTATAATACGGCCGACTCGTCACTAATAGATTGGATCCCTGTCAATCGTTTGTGCGATGTGGCTCCAAGGGTCTGTCAGTGTCCGAAAGAGAAGCAATACCAAAAGGTGTTTGTTCATTTCAGCGTATACACCGACCAACTGCAGTTCTGACGCATAAAAAGATGAGTTCTATGATGAACTCACCGGTGACAATAACGCTCAAGTTGGAAAATTGAGCGCATCGGAAGCTTATCTAGGCAGTCGTTGTGCTCTGCCCTGCCAGCAAACAGGTGATTGCGATCGACCTCTTCAGTTCAGATCGTCATCTGTTCCCTTCTAGCACCAACTTCTGACGCAGCTCTCAACGGACAGCAACCCCCCTCCCCCAATTCAACTGGTACGCTATCTGAAATCGACCACATCAATTCAGTTCAGTTTGTACAACCGTTAACCATGCATCTTCGTGCGATGGTTTTGGTTGTTGTCTTTTGGTTGCCCATTTGGATGAAGAATAGGAGAAAGATACGAAGGTTGAGAGTAGAGTCGAATAGAAAGTGGAGAATATCAATGGTCTAAGTTTGCAAAAAAATTGAAAAGATGCACGAACTCCACTGTTTACGACACTCAGTCTCCAACCATCGATTAAGATCGTCCCGAGGTCCTCAACCAGGGAACCTAATGGGACCTATGTGGCCCAGTCCCCTGGTTAGAGATTTCATACCCTCGTGCCAGGTCTTAGGTTGACCACCCTTGACTTTTATCCACCCACTACTTGCCTCGGCAAACATCGATAGCCGTCCGGATTAAGTAACTTAGAGGTCGTCGGGTGTTTGGTGATTCATCGAACGAACTCGCTATCGCATCGAATTCAGCTCAATAAGCTTCGTTATTTAGGACACAGNNNNATGAAAAAATACAGAGATCAGTGTCTCGCGTCTTCCGGGTTGAGATCCAAAAGACTCCGTTGGTTGGAGACACTAAAGATCATCGAGCCGAGATCAGTGGCGATCTTGCTGTCACTTCTTATCAGACCAGAATGCTTGGAATAGTATGTATGCACAGTCGGGCTGTGTACTCTGTTGACCATAGGGGTTCACTTTCCCCGTCCCTAAAAATGTGTCCATACACGTTCTCACTTATTTGTATTCATTATAAGTTTGGCAGCGATCAGTGAAGTTCACTTCACTGTATTTCGCTGTACGATCATGATGATGATGGTGATGAAATCACGGTTGAGGTTTATTCCCATAGGGGGTGGGATGGGAGAGGGTTCATTTGCCTCTTGGTCGGTTTGGAAATATGGTTTTCATGTAAATGTCCTAGTTGAACTGCCGGTGGTTCGGTGACCCGGTTATAGCTTCGGATGTTTGCTTTTCGTCCCCTCCATTGGGTGGCAAAACATGTCCACTATGGTAACCAACCGGATAAAAGTTATGATTGGGAGCATCTCATGTGGCAATTGCTGCCAATCAGCCTTCCAAGCGAAGCTCTCGGGCCGTCTATCAGTTCGCCACCAACCGGAAGACTCGGTAAACACTGGAAGCAAATGAGGGGAGCTATGCAAATATTGTTGGAAAACGGCGGACTCTGGCTCAGACTCAAAGCACAGTCGATGGGTCTGGCCGATCTCGGTTATGCTGCTGGACACCCACAGTACCCTTTTTCCTGGTGTCACATACGACAGTGCCCAAATTGCTTTAAAATCAGCTCATTAAGATTTTGAGGAATGACGACGAGAAGCGGCGGATGGAGAAGTCTAGAGAGATGCAGATGCAGATGCTATTGGTACTAGTCACTCTTTTCCGTCTTATCAGGAATACGGACCCAAGGAAAATGAGCGCATGGAAATGTTTAGTTGAAGAAACAAACAAACAAACAGACTATGCGGCATTATTAGTTCGATAAGGCAGTTGACGGTGCACACAGTAGGTAACGATTGTTTTTTCTTCTGAATGACAAGTCGGCAGAGTTCTGTAACTTCATTTTCGGTTTTAAGTTACCGTACTGCGTTATTCAGAATACGAAATGTCAGCAGACGGTGGTTAGTTGAGATAGAAGACCGAGTGCACATAGACGTAGGGATAAAAGATAAATGTTATAAACACCGCATTATGTAAAAAGCTACGAATGTGATACACGACAAGTGCTTTGCGTGATTCTAAGACATCAAACAAGTGGGTTTGGTGACCTTTGATGGTTCCCCTTTTTGTGTTTAAACATTTCATCAATCGATACACGATGATGGTAGGCAGCTGTGCTGTCGTCCGGTTCAATACTACACCTAACCTATCGGAGCCTCATGTGATTCGCCACTCTAAGTCCCGGGGCTTAGGTTACGGGTTTCCATCACTGTACAGCAGGTCCTCGTGACCATGGGGCTTTCCCCGTCATCATCACACGAAAGTGCATAATAAATAAACTCAGATAATCAGCGTTCAGTTTTGACGGTTAGCTGGCTGCGGTCGCTTATGTTGTGAGTGAGTACGATTACATTTGGACTACCATTCGAACCATAAATCATGGATCGTGCTGCCTACTTACCGTAAACCTTGTCCCTCAACCCAACCACCAACAGGAACCCAATAGCCACCAAATTCTAGTGTCGCTGCCTTGATATTGTATGTCTAACGTTGCTAAGGTATCCAAAGTCGGATTGTTTTGTTCACATTGTACTGCACTTACTCCCCGGACTATATTTTCTGTATATATATTTCACATGCGTCTGAGACCAGACCACGTATCAAACAAATCATGGTGCAATCACCTTTATAATAATACAAAATTCCAAGATTGGCATGTGAGTTCAATCCTGCCAGGTTGCCCAGACCAAGGCAGGTGTATTTTCTTGAGGAATCCACAACCGAAGTCTTTGGCTCGCCAAAGCCTGACCCGCAAGCGAGGCGGTGTGTGAAAACCGCAGTTCATTGGGGACCGGTGTCTAGTTCATCGGATCATACGCCCTTTGGACGGGATCTAACGTCCAAGGTGCCCAATACACCAATGCCTAATTGAACCGGTGAACATTGTCACAACCGGGAAGATGTGTGTGTGTGTGTGTGTGTGTGTGTGTGTATGTATGTATGTATGTATGTATGTATTTATGTATGTACTGTTCGCATGCCTCTCATTGGTTGGTTTCGTATCATGAATCTTTGGCCAACTCACCTAGGTGAACTACCAATGGTCCACCAATCCGGTTATAGCCACGGATACCGGCTTTTTCTCTCACTTTGGCGGGGAAACACCGCCATGAAAAAGCAGTGAGTGGGACTTCTTAAACAGGCTGTTTGAAGAGGTTCGTGCGAGTGACCCTTGTTGAGCTTAAGTACGTGAGAGATCCCTATTGGCAGTCACAACGGAAATGAGTTAATGCATACATGCAATGCTGTGTTGATGTGACCGCAACGAGCTCGTCTGGTTTTGCCTTTCCACAACACAAATCTGTGCTGAATTCCTAATTATCTGGTTGATTGAGTGATTTTCGGGTGTCAATGTTCAGGCATGGTTAACGTTTCAGATTAGGCCTATGTGGCCGACAAAAGTAAGCCCGGCGCTGTAAAGTAGGTCTAGAAGACTAATGATGTTCTTCGTTTGCGCCTAAAAACATCTGCGCATTTGAGGCTTTCGTCAGCGCACAATGCATCGAGAGTGTAGTTTGTCCGTTGATTTCGATCGCGTGATCGCCTGAGTATGTTGAGCGCCAACTCGTCGTCGTAGTTCTGTTAACAAGATGCATTAGTCGCGAGGAATGTTTTGCTTTTTCCCTCGAATTCTTGTCTGACGATGCCTGTTCGGTGCAGTAGTGACGAATTAGTAACCGTTGCGTAGGTCCTTACGCAACACACAGTTTAGGGACTCAGTTAGTGAATCATGCACTGCAGACTATTAGTAAGTTATTTTACACTTAAGCAGGTCCACTTCTGTTTCGAGACACGGAGGTATAAACCAATGAGGTGCATGTAGCCGACTGCCAACCTGAAGTTTTGTATGTCGACTGTGAAAAGTTCAGTAGCCTCGGTGGAATTCATTAAACTTTAATCCGGTCCTTTTCTAGGATCGATACTTTTTCTGTAATCTGTTCACTTTGTTTCTGACGGAAAGCGTAGTGCTGTTCTGATTTGTAACTGGATCTCATTTCCTTTCAACTAGTGGCTGAGAATCGAATATGATACAGTTTAATTAGCAGTTCTTTCAAAATCAAATACAGGGAATTAAGTTATTCCAAAGGTGAGCAGCGAGTATTTTATTCTTCATTTGATGCGAAATTATAGACAATACGCTTTTGTTTGATCAGATCCAATCTTTGAATATCAGTTGCTTGATCTCACCTTAACCAATTAAATATACGATGAATTGTAAACTCAACACGTAACTCTTGATAATTGGAGTCACCAGCTTCTTTGTTGTTGTGCTCATCGCTCTTTCCTTTATAGGCCTTATTGGAAATGGTCCACTTGGATTCTGCTCGCGACATGCTAGGTTACTACTCTTCGGTCTATCCACCTCGAATTCGCGGGAAGCTCCCTGTACGACTCTCCTACAGCAAATATCCCGTTCTCAACACAATACCACCGAGTCAAGCAATTACTGAGGCCATTTCTTTAGCCAATCAGCGCCATGTGGACGTGGTGACTCCGCCGCACTGTGTTATTTTGGCGCAAGTGGAGCATGCACCTCCGTCAATGCACTTCGGCTATAGACAATTTCATCAGGTTGGTATGCACCTCTCACACATACTTCTGGAATTTATCACTGATTAGATTTTTTCCTTTTGAACCTGATGAACAGCGACTATTTAATGATGTCACGGTACATGGTATATCATCACCAGGAACACTCGCTTGTTTAACTGGTTTCCTGAAGAATTTTCTTAAAGGAAATGAAACTGTCATTGATTTCAACATTGAACATTCTTGTTGTTACCATGTATTCATCGATCTATTGGCCTGTTTGTTCGTCTTCAGCTATTCAAGGATTTTGGTCGTATCTTACGCATAATATCTTTCCGATCGGGACCTTGCCAAAAAGCTCTTGTGGAATTTGATGAACCAGTCTCTGCTGTGGTGGCAGTTATGGTAAGTTGAACAGTCTTCATGCGTCACTACATGGACTAGTTTGATTTTTTGAAATGTTACCATCCCCAAAGATTGTCTCCGTCGTGACNATGCAGGATAAAAGTTAGTCGAATCCGCACGGTTATCAAATGTATGAAGTCGGCAGGCAGAAGTCATGACGAAGCAATGTGACCGACACATTGAGCTTTTATTCTTTGAACAGTAATAAATGCTATGGACTCAGCCGCCTCAACTCGGTTCAACAAGCGTTTACCGGGTTCTTTCGGACCCTAACATAATAAGTGAAAACACTCGTTTAACTAATGNTGCCCAGATCGACGTGATTTATTCACATGAATTTGTTTGACAACGGCGGTTCACCTCGATGTTTGTGACTGCGCGTGTTCAGAGTTGATCAATACGAACGACATTTATGAACATACCTACACCACTTGACGTTCGTTGCAATACTATCCACATTAGTGTATCGAGTCAGAACAGCCATCACTTTCATTATCACAAATCATCGTCCCCGGGCGAACACCACTGCTGTTTTCGGAAGATTTGCTTGGCGTACTGTGTAGACCCTTACGCTTTCATTAAGTATGCAACTACATTAATCACAGTTGATTTGCACCCTCTGCATCCCTCTGCGAAGCAGTTCCCTTGTTGGGGTTATCTGGTCAATTGAATTACAGACTCATTTGAGGTCAACAAACATTGTGATTGATGGTGGACGATGTGTGTAGCATAACTGGGTGATTTGATACAGTGAAGATTTTATTTCCACAAACGATACGCGGATTGCGTTCTTGAAGGTCGGAACGTTTCACCGTAACTTAAGGAAATGTGTTCTTCCATTAAAATGACACGAAACTTATTGGGAATCTAATCGACAAGTAGAATAGATCAAATAGAATGCAGCCTCTCACTTGAATTTACTAGCAGGCATCCATCGACTGAAAGTTTTCGATTATCGGTGTTTACGTAGTTTAGCCCATATGGGGGCAAGCCGTCGTGTCTTAGGGCGTTTGTCAGGGATAAACTTGCTATTTCAGGGAATTCAGATGAGTAGGCTTCGCTGGTACATATTGCCTATACCCAGATGTCCTCTGTCGCACCGGGCTCTATTCTCTGTACCCGCTCCGGGTACCCACATGGAGGTCAACAGATGACTTGAAGAGGAGTCACGATGAAAGGTAGAGCCGTTAGGTAGCGTGTCTCCCGTCTTCCGGGTTGGGGTTCGAAGGGCTCTGTAACTGGTTGGTTGGAGACACTGAAGGACATGACGGCGAAACGACAACAGCGGAATTCTTGTTGTTATTTCTTATCGGGTCCGAACTATCGCTCCCAAGCCCCCGATGTACACAAAGTAAGAAAGAAATGGATAGGGTTTGGGCCTGATAGGAGGGAGCCAAAAAACTGAACCTCAGTGGTCAACACCGAATACAATCTAACCGTGCATACATACCTTTTCAAGTATTCGGACCCGATAAGAAATAACAACAAGAATTCCACTGTTGTCGTTTCGCCGTCATGTCTTTCGGTGTCTCCAACCAACCAGTTACAGAGCCCTTCGAACCCCAACCCGGAAGACGGGAGACACCTACGCTACCTAACGGCTCTGCCGTTCTTCGTGACTCCTCTCCAAGTCATTGGTTGACCTCTACGTGGTTTCTTCCAACTTGGAATCGCAACTGCGAACAATGCGCGATGAGGTAGGCGATAGCTGAGCACATGCAGTACGTGCCCAAGCCCGCAAAACTTACTCGTCTGAATTCTATATGATAACGAATTTCTCACCGAATCATTACCAAATACGTGACGATTTACCTCAGAGTTTACACGCTCGCTCTATCCAATCCGCGACAAACTATATACATACGGGCAATCGAAAGCTTCCAGACGATGGGTACCTTCCGCGCATAAATTAAGGGTGTCGCAACTATAAAACAGAACTGACCGCACACTGGCACAGTATGTACGAACTTTCAGTTTCAACGTGCGCAAATAGCTGGGTCACACAGACGATGAGGTAACTGAGGAGGCGATTTTTGATGTTGACTGAAAAGTCCAGGTGTGNGGTGTGAAGCGTATGATAACTAATGCGTAATCAGACTCCAAGCAAGTGATGCAGTAGGATGAGCAACCTTGTACTGAGCTGCGCCAACGGTAGCTTACAGCTATATGGTCAAAGTAGATCAACTTTCTCGAACTAGAAGGCTATGTTGCCGTCCGACGAGAGCTGTGTTGAAAGTTGGTGATTTGCGCAGAACCAAGGTAGTCAATTACCGGTGCCCGTTCGCTGCGCTGTTTTCCAACCTGATCGTTGAAATCACTTGTCAGCTATGGTTCAGTCAGGTGAGTTCCGTGAGTAAAATTCATCCCTTTGTGAATTTTAGGTATGCTGAGATGATAAACACTAAGCCCAAGATCCTCATTGCGCACAATTTATTTACGGGCATGCAGTCTGTCAGTGCTACGTCAGCTTTGCCGTTTGGTACGATTTCCATTCCACGCTGACGCGGAGAGCGGACTTCATCGTTTTCTGATGTGCGAAGGAAATGCCTCGAGGATAGACCCAACGCATCCAGGTGGCTCATACTACTAGGATATTAAATTGCAGTTTTCGATATGCAGCATGCATCAATTTTCAAAGAACTCTTCGTACGAGCAAGACATGCTTATGACCCCCGTGCATCAGTCCTCGGAGGCCCTCAGATTTAGAAGTTGGCGAGAATTCCGAATGTGCAAATGATTTAGTGGTAATTTACTCGCAGTGCTATTAGGAATCAAGCTTTGGCGGGTGGCCAATACGTCTGGATATCCTCAGGTTAAGTAGAGCTGAATGTTACGAGGAGCGTCCCTTGTTTGTGGATAGGGGGATACCTTCACCGAAGAAGGTTAACTGTGAATAAGTGGCATGCGGCAACAAATAAGCAGTCGCGAACAAACGGCAGCGACACTACCAGGGTGTGGTGGGTTTCAGACTGGTCACCTAGCTCCTGTTTTAAAGCTGCATAAGCCCAATGACGGTGTCGTGACAAAGATCGATGTGACTGACCTTTTAAATTTAAGGTTATTGACCCCCTCACTTCCGAGACGAGGAATTACTTCCTGCTGCTATGCAGCTCGCACTTGGTTATGCAAAGGCTAGAAGTGCGCCCTCAAAATAAAAAAAAACACCTAGTGACCCCGGGGGTCTCTCGTAACAAACTCCCAAGGATCTTCATGATCACGATCATGTCTGGAGCCGGCTTGTCCTTTCCAAGAAGTCAGCCGCAGTGAACTGAAGTAAGTAAACACGTCTGGAATGTTAGGGGTCGGAATAAGGACCAAAGGAGAGAGGGTTGTGGATAGAAGACGAAGAGTCGAAGAAACGTTGGGATGTGTGAGCGGTTGCCCACTCATCACTAACCACCACGCTCGATGCAATGGGCAACACCGTCCTGATTATGCTGCATAACGAACGATGCAGTAGGGAATCATTTTTAGTTTGTGTTTGCGCTTTATGGACGGGTACTGCTAAGAGGTTCGTTTGGATCGCTAAGCAATAGCACGATTGAGGTTCGTTTCCGGAGCCTGCAGTTCTGGCAAGCACCAACGTCAATTTTTTATTCTGAGAAATACTCAGACGATCGCTTTTCTTGTCCCATGGGGTTTTTCGCTCAGCTTGATCGACTGGCGCACCATAGAGGAGTAAGGAATGTCACAGATATTCATTGGTTTTATGTACTGCTATGGATGTCGAAATTTGAAACATGACAATGCTTCATCCATTTCGTGCTTGAAAGAATCAATTTTGGATGCACAAACGTGAAGTGGTAAAGAATTCCAAATATTTCACACTATGAGATGAATGATGTCGAAATTCTAGTCGACACTTTTGGAGCACTAATTTGAATGAGTACCCCCAGAGGTGAATGTTGAGCGACAAAGCGAACAATGAACGACGTGGGTGTTCAGGGTTTTCCATTATTCGATACGAGAAAATCAAGTTCTCAAATTTGGAATATAATCCCATCGATGCTACTCATTCCACATAAGACTTGGAACGCAATCCCTTGACCATCTTGGTGGCCATTCTTTATGGACATTCCAGAATCGCGTTGCAGCCGTATATTCCACACTTGGATGGTGTATTCTATGTGGGGTCGAATGTAGGCTGATAACAAACGTTTTGATGGTATAGTTTCGAGTTTACCAAACACTCGCCTTATCAAACCATACGGAAGTTGTTAATATTCCGGAAGTATCGAGACGGAGTTTTTTGGCGAGGGATATGACCGTACATTTCACTGTTGTTTTCGATCGATCATTGATAAGCAGCATTAAGCAGTCTCTGAAGTGCCAGTAGAGATGTTTGATCTTTTCTGGCTAGGTTTTTCAGCAGGAATCATGATAGGCAGCATTGCTTCTATTGGTCAAACTCACCATGACGTGGAGCGCAGAGATAAGAGTAGGTAGACTAGGGTCATAGTTTACGAAATGCGCTGCAGTACTACGAAACAAACTAATAAATCGTGTCCGCGTTGCCCCCCAATTGCATTTTCTTTCAATAGCAAACAAGCCTATTTTTTACTCAGTAGTAGGTTTATGCACCTGGGTAGGTGAATTTTTGGCATTGTACACCATATTTGTGGATGCAAATTTACAAAATCAGACAAAATGAAACTGAAAGTAGTAGACATCAGTGAAACCAATTACATAATTCTGTGGAAACTTTCTCCTTGTCAATAAGTAGACGTGTGAGATATGACAAAACAGAAATACCAAATGAAGAGGTACGTGCAAATAAGAGTTTGAATCTCGAGCTTGTGGATGATGAACATTCAGCTTTCGAAAGTTCGTTATTTTATGACGGAGTATTTTTGCAATAAACTTTTCGCATACTTCCAGATATCTGTCTGACAGCCTGCAAGTTTATCTCTGACGATGCCACTACATTTAAAGATGTGTTCCAGAGATCTCGCTAGTAAATAAAAGTCTGTTCTCATTGGGGTTCACCCGGGTCGTGTTTACTGTGACCTATTATGGGAAATCAACTTCCCTACTGAAAGAGGCTTCTGTGCTCTTGATGCCTGCTTAAACATCGTTCGCTCTCTGGATTCTTCGTATCTAATTTTAAGCGATCAAGTGGTAAAAGTTGATCTCAAATAACTTTTGTTACTTTGTTTGGACGGCTTTCAATGGGCACCAGCTGTATCCCATTTAAATCCGCCGTTGAATTCCGCGAACTGATTCGCAATCAGTTTGATTTCTTCGATATACTGAGGCCTCCCGCCGATGTCAAAACAGGTGTGTTACGTTTTGTAGTACTGTTTTTCACCTGTTCGCAATGGGTTTCATGCTTTAATTGACGGTATTCCTCCGCTGTCGCACTCGTGGGAATTTCACTGTGACACTTGTCCCGCGTAACATTGTTCTCTATTTGTCATCGTTTGAATTCCGTTATTTTTTGTGTGATCGACTAATTCTGTACGTCTTAAATCAATTTGGGGTTTACTTTCCAATCCCGTCGCACAGCAAGCTGATGGTACAGTATTTAAACCGGATGACGGCCCCTCCGATCTAAGATGCACTATCCGTGTGGAATTGTCCCGACAGTCTTCATTAGAAATTAGGCAAGAAGATGAAAATTGTCGGGATTTTACACGTGAATCTACTCCACATCGTCGAATGTCGGAACCGGTTTACGCATCACCAGGGAATGGTGCTTTTCGTCCGTACCGTCAAATGGATCATCCTAACTCAATGGAGTCCATGTCACCGAGTTGGTCAAATGTGAACGTTTTGGACTTGGTCACTGAGGATCGTTTGAACAACCTTGATCCAAACACTTTGTCCGAACTAGCCAGTCGAATGGTTAAACCGCTTCGTGAGTTATCATTGCGGACCCTTTTTTATCCGGGACGCATTTGCACCAAAGTACCGGTACTATCCATCATGTTTTTCAGGAAAACGACCAGGTGCTGAACCCCACTTAGTCTATTAATCTCAATCTCGTCTCGTTTTTCGATACTTATAGTTTACTGATTTTTTTATTACACACACTTGTGTGATGAACAACAGACAGAGTGGACTCCATATTCACGAAGACCTGCTGTTCAGTGATGAAACCGGTAACAGCCCCGGGACTTGGAGTGACGAACCACACGGCCCCGCTAGGTTAGGCGTGGTATGAAACCGAACGACAGCCAAGCTGCCTACCACCAACGTTGGTTGGTGGTGGCGGTGCTCGAACCATTAACGATAGATTTTCTGTGGCCTCCTTGCATGCTGTTTCGCAGCGTGACGTTCGATGTAGGCGTGTTCAATCAAATATAAATTCGTCCATGAAGGTCTAAAAATCTTTGCCGCCGTTTGATGCCTTTTCAAATACCATGGCAACCCTTTTTATTTCATGTGATTCCACTTATTGTATTCTATCGATAACTTCATATCACTAATGATCCTGTCGTCACATGTGGATCGAACCCTGCGATTGCCGGAATCCAGTAGTCAGTTTGGAGATTGCGGCTGCCAATCCTGATAAATGTATTATTTCACTCGGGAAGTTCAAGGATAAAGCCTGTGCTTCCTTCTCGTCATCGTCATCAGCAGCATCGTCACGCACATTTTTTCAATCATTCTGGTCCGATTAGAAGCGACTAGAAGAACGCCGGTTGATAACCATATCTTTCCGTCTCCTAGCAGTTACAAAGTCTTTGGGACGTAAATATGAAAGATGACAAAACCTTTTCTGCCCTGGTTGCTCGGTGTATTACTTCGCACTTCTTTTCCAGGTCATCTGTTGACCATTCAGTTAAGTTGCGAGCTTTTCTGGATAGCTTGAGTGCCAGCGTATCCATGTTCGGTATGCGTTTTGCATCTTCAAAGTGTAAAATGTTACTACAGGATTGGATTGGTCCACCACCCACATTCATTTCAACTGGGGAAATGGAGCAAGTGGCGCCGTTACGATATCCGGTTGTCTGTGAAAGGTCGAGTGCATGCTGCGGAAGTTTGGTCAGTTTTGCTATGTGGCGCAGAAACTTGACTATAAAGGAGGCACGGTTAAGATAGACTGTCGGTGTTTGAACACCGCTGTCTACGCAGCATTGCACTACTCTGGTGGGGCAGCCGGACGATCAACGCTGAGGTTAGGTGCAGAGTTTTGGGTAACCGCAGTCGCCCACTGGAGCAAGTAGTCGACCGCCATATATTACGTTGGTTGGGGTATGTGTTACGCAAGTCACTAAATAGGTTGCCACGACGAGCGATGTTTGCCGAGGCAGGTAATGGGTGGATAAAAGCCAATAGTGGTCAAGCTAAGACCTGACACATCATCATCGCACAGCGAGATACAGTGAAACAAACTTCACTGATTGCTGCCAAACTCACAGTGTACACAAATCAAGTAATAAAGCACCGTATGGAGAGGAATGGGGCCTAATTGGTGGGAAACAAAGAAAGTGAACCTCTATGGTCAACAAACAGAGTACGGAATCCAAATGTGCATACATACCTTCTCAAGCATCCGGACCTGATAGGAAGTGACGACAAGAACGCCTTTGCTGACGGTTAGTCTCCATATCCTGGTTTCGAACGATTTAGCCCACCGTATGCCCTTACGCTATNTACGCTATAAGACGTATGCAGGTACAGCGACCGCGGTAGATTTACATACTTCTGCGGCATTCCTTTGCGAAGCAACGATCCCATAAGAGCTTCATGATCCACTGAATCTAAGGCTCCTTTCAGGTCAAGGAACACTGCGATTGTTAGCCGACGATGTATCTGACGTAGTTCGAGAACTCGACGCAGAACGAAGATTTGGTCGATTCAACCGCGACCTGATCGTAATCCAGCCTGCTGTTCGCGGATATCTCTCTCTCTTAAGGGTGCCAGTTTTCCAACCTGCGCGGTAAAATGAGCACTGTAATATCAGAAATGTGGCTCAACCAAATAAGTTCGGCGAGTTTGTCGTGAAATTCGTCTTTTTGTGAACTAGGACTGCAGTTGGTTGGGTCATATGCGGAAGTAATGAACAAATACCTTTTGGTGTTGCTGCCCTTCCGAACATTAACTGATCCCTGTAGCCTCATTGCGCACGGACGACTATTGACGGGCATCCAATCTATCATAGATGCTTCAACTTTTTCGTTTATTACGATCCCCACACCACGCTGACCCCGTGAGCGGGCTTCGTCGTCTCCTGATGTGTGAAAGAAATACCTCAAGGACAAACCCGGTGCACTCAGGTGGCTTATGATAATAGAATCCCGAATTCGTGTCTCCGATACGCAACAGACATCAATTTCTAAAAAATTTATTGTACGCGCAAGGCACACTTGTTGACCCACCTGCACCATAGTCCTCGCTTTGAAGGTCCTCAGATTGAGAGGTTGATGAGGCTTCAGAATCTGCAATCAATTTGCAGACAAACTATTTACAGTACTATTGATAATGACCTTTAGCGAATGACGACCAAGTTGTCTGGGGTAATGTTACGGATCGGAAGAAGGGGTAAATGGAGAGGGTTTGGTACGGAAGACAAAGCTAAAAAGGTTGGAATATCTGTGCAGTAGCCCACTTATCATTCCCCACCCCGCTCAACGCAATGGGCAGCACGGTTCTGATTATCCTGCGCGACGACCGATGCAGTATGAAATTCTCTTTGGTTTGTGTTTGCAACCTTAGACCACTGAAGTTCGGTATTTTCCGTTCCGCTCTACCTTCGCCCTTCCTGTCTTTCCCCTAATGTTCATCCAAATGATCATCCAAAAGACATTAACCATAACCGCCGCCCGAAGGTGCATGATTAATGGTTGTACAAACTGAGCTGAACTTTTCGTACATTGTTTCGGTCCTAGGTCGTTTTCTATCGTGCCCGTGGTCATGTGGCTACGACGATCCACAATGGGAATAGACAAGTTCTCGCTTGCAGGAGTCTTCAATCCAACTATACACAATATCAATGGTGAATTTTTTTAGGTCTGTAGAATGAAGCAAAACACCATCGCTGTTGGGCTCTCTCGTGGAGCTGTTTACTGTTAACACACCAAATTCATCTATGTAGTGACTAGGTGGATTATCTTGATGTTAAATTTACCTTCGAAATTCTGGTAACTTCCCGGATGAGTGTATTAATCGCAACAGGAAATTTATCCGAAAAACTTGTTTTTCTATGCTATGCTTCTCAGCCTACGTCAGAATCACGATGTTTTCTCGTGCGTATACGATAGCTGGTTGCCTTTAACAACCAGTTCGTTCAATTACATCGGTTCCAAAATAGTCCGTGTAAACTGCATCATAGGCTACTGGAATATCATTCCCATACGCAATTCATTTGAAGGCACACGACGGTTAACTCGATTTTTATGTTCCTATCCGTTCAGTAACCTACGGCGTTATTTAATTATTTTTCAACCGTTAGGGTCTGCAGTGATCTGTCGTGCAAACTTATAACCTGTATATGTTAAAGAGAGTTACCGACTCAACTTGGCTTTCAAAAACGGGCTGTGGCATGATTCGTTTTCTGTCCAGGCAGTAGCTCTACCGAGTTGATGAAAGACTGGAAACTGTCCATCCTTGTGTTGCATAACTTCTGTTTTCTTTTCGCGAATAAATGTTTTTGTCTTTATGGCGCAACCATTCATTCATTGACCAAGATACCTCTCCTTAACATGTTCGCCCCAGGAGTCTTGTCGTTTTGCTCATTTCTTCGAATTTAGTGTTTTTTTGTGTTGTTGCCTTTATTCTCTGAGGTTTATTGCTTGAATAACCGTAAATAACTAACGAGCTTCCCGACGAAAGACCGACACAGCGATCAGTAAAGTTCGCTTCAATATATTTCGCTGGTTACGTATACCGATGAACCGTAAGCATAGCGCGCGTGAAAAATGTTTGTTGTCACATACTCTGTCTTGTCCATTTTCCAGTTAAAGCTGCGCTTATTGTTGGTGGTCAACAATCCACGTTTCTGAAATCACAGGCCGAAGTTCTGGAACACTTATGCCCACAGAATGTGCGCCCGATGCTTCAACGTTCTCAACCAACACCTCTGCTGAGCGGGTTCTCCAGTTCCAGTCACTCAATGTCTATGCTAGAAGAACCATCGAAGACTGCTCAATCCTCGGTTGTCTACGTGACAAATCTGAACCAAGAGGTGCGATTGGTTACGTACTGTACTACCCTATACAGGCGGGTATTTAAGGACCACCATTACCTACTCACCATCATAAGTATCATATACCAGTTTTTGATGTAATTTTGTAGAATAATCGATCTAGCCGTTCACTTTGGTATACTTACAATACCAACAACTTGAAAAGTATGGCGT